ATATAGAAGTCTTAAAATGAAGCATCCACAGAAGATAAGATTTAAAAAAACAGAACCTCCCCAAGTTAAAATGTGTTTATATGTTTATTTATTTTTAATTGGGATTTTTACCCCGCCCGCCCCCCAAAAGGGGCTCAGGGCGGCTTACAAGGGGCAAAGCCCATATAAAAGAAGGATAAAAGCAATAAAAACATTAATAACAATTAATCAAAAATAACAATAATACTCCATTGAAAGCAGGATGGTCCCCAAATATATACAATGATGGTAAAAACAGTTCTCTGGGGATGATGTTGTCCTATAGCTGATCACAAGCAAATAAGTCCGATAATATCAATCGCGCAAAATTGTGGCAGATCTTCCCAGGCCATCCTTAACCCCGATGTTGTCCACATAATTGGTGGTGGTGGTAGTGGCGGCCCCTATGTGAAAGCCTGGCAGAAGAGCTCTGTCTTGCAGGCCCTGCGGAACTGCATAAGATCCTGCAGGACCCTGATCTCCTTCGGGAGCTCGTTCCACCAGGTAGGGGCCGCCACTGAAAAGGACCTGGCCCTAGTCACGGCGAGCCTTGCCTCCCGGGGGCATGGAACCACCAGGCGATATTGCGCCCCGGACCGAAGTGCTCTTGGGGGTATATGTGGGGACCGAAGTGCTCTTGGGGGTATATGTGGGGAAAGGCGGTCCCTCAGGTAAGTCGGACCCTGGCCATATTGGGCTTCAAAGGTAAGTACAAGCAATATGTGTTTATCAAGTTGCAGCCGACTTATGGGAACCCCAGCAAGGGGCTTTCAAGGCAAGTGAGAAGGAGAGGTGGTTTGCCATTGCCTTCCTCTGCAGAGTCTTCCTTGGTTGTCTCCCTTCCAAGTACCAACCCTGCTTAGCTTCAGAGATCTGATGAGATCAGGCTATACTGTACTGCCTTCCCTCCCCAAGTTACAATACAATTTAATAACTCAGTTCATGTATGCTCCTCTGCCTCAAATGAAGCTGCAAAACAGCTCACACTATTAAATTGTAATATTATGATAATGGATCCCCAAATGCCCCCCCCATCTATTCAGGCAGAACATTCCCAGTAACAGACATAGCCCCTACCTATTCCTTTTTTTAAAATTTAATTTTAAAAAACATTTTAATTGCAACCCCAAATCAGAAATAAATTAAAAATGACAAAATATACCAGTGGTGGCAAGCGTACTGATAGGCATCTATAAAAAGTTTCCAGTTATCTAAAAATATGTCCATGTGCAATTATCGTCTATATGCCATAAACTCATATATCGATAAGGCTGTAAAGTCCTCAATCCACTGGATTACTGGAGGTTAGCATGTATCTCTCCAGCGTTGTAATGTAAGTGTTTTAGCAACAGTAAGGGCAAGGAGGGTCCATTTTTGTTGACCATCAGTTAACCTCCATGAGACAGGCAAATAGTACCCAAACATTCTCAAAGATCGACAAATTATTTCCTCCTATCCCCTACCTGTTCTGCTAGTTTATCTTTCCCTTCACGGCCTCCTTCACAGTCATCGCATCTCTGGATGCTCCCTCTATCCATGCCCCTCCCCCCCAAACCCCTGAGACTGCCAGGCACAGGGTTGGCAACTTTAGAACTGACTGAGACTGATGGACATCTTGAAATTGTAGTGGAAAGCCCAATGAAAATATCAACTCAGTGTGCAGCAGCTATGAAAAAGGAGAACTCCATGTTTGGGAATAATTAGGAAAGGGACTGAGAATAAAATAGCTAATATTGTAATGTTGAGGATAAAATAGCTAATATTGTAATATCCTTGTATAACTCTGTGGTGTATGTAATGTCCCTGTATAGCTTTATGAGCTCTATACCTAGTTTGGAATACTGTTTGCAGTTCTGGTTGCTGTATCTCAAAAGCATATTGCAGAGCTGGAAAAAAGTACAGAAGTAGATAAAAAGATGATTAAGAGGCTGAGAAAAGACTGAAGAGTCTGGGACTTTCCAGTCTAGAAAAAGACAGCTAAGGAAGAAATTATAGACATTTATAAAATTATTCATTGGATAGAAAAAGTGGGTGAAGAGAGCTTTTCCTCACTCTTCCGTAATACTAGAACTTGTGGGCACCCAATGAAGTTTATCGGCAATAGGTTCAGGACAGACAGTTCAGAAACACTTAATTCCTCAATGAGTAATTAAACTGTGGAATTCACTACCAGTAAACATAGTGATTATCATATACTGGGTCCGATGCATGATGTAGTGAAATCAGCTCATAGGCTTATTAGATAGTGCAGGAACAAGCCAAACTAGCCGGCTCGCAGGCCGACTTTTATTCCCAAGGTACAACCACACCCAACACACACCCAACCCCCGTGATAGGTCTGTTTACATTACTGGCTAACAATAGGTTAAATAAAGGAGCCTAGTCTCCCGATTGGAGGGAACTAGGATCCGGCAGTCTATTGTTCCTGTGTGCGAAGCTCAGGCTCTTCGCCGGACCACATGCGGACCTGGTCTCGCACGCGGCCGTCTCGGCCACAACAGTGATGGCCACAAAAGGGGTTTAGACAGATGCATAAAAGATCAGTCCATCAATGGCTACTTGCCTCGGTGAGTAAAGGGAACCTCAATCTTCAGAGCAAACCTCTGAATCCCAGGGTTAGGAGGGAGCATAACGGGAAAGCCTTGAACTCTATGCCCCATCTGTTGGCCCTCCATGACAACTGGCTGCTGCTGTCTGAAACCAGATACTGGACTAGATGGACCCCTGGTTTGATCTAGCAGGGCTCTTCTAATGTTCTTAGGATAAGCAGGGGTGTGGGTGGTTCTTAACCTGTTTTTCTACTAAAAATTGTCATCCAGCCTCTTTGTGTCCTGCTTTTTTTCATATGGGAGTCTTTTCTTAGATTTTTGGTATCAGACACTTGTCTTGGTTATTGATTTCTATAATTGCTCTTCTTTGATGTAATCTGTGTGATTCATATGCTATAATGTAAAATTCATAAAAATATAAAGTTTTAAAATATGAATAAGAGCACTCGGGTAATAATAATACCCATCAGTAACACTACCTATAATTTCGTTGCTATTATTTCGTAGGAGGGAAAGAAGCATGATATAGCCCAATCTCATCAGATCTCTGAAGCTAAGCAGGGTTAGTATTTGGATGAGAGACAACCAAGCAAGACTTTTCAGAGGAAGGTAATGACAAACCACCTCTGCTTCTTACGCTCTATGAAAGCCCCTTGCTGGGGTCGCCATAAGTTCATTGCAACTTGATGCCACTTGTGTACGTACATATTATTCCACAGCAAAGTCCTTTCTTAATATATCATATCATAAAGAAACAGCACTATCTAGTGCATAAGTATTTAGTGCTCTAATCCACAAATGGGGTCTCAGAAACTTGATTTGCACATGAGATGTCCAAGCTATACATGGCAAACTGCAAACTCCTTTCTTGAGTCTTGAATCCCATGCTTATTCAAAAGCAGGACTGTAAATCCAACAAAATTTGTTTCAGCCTTTCCCACCCTTCTGGTCTTTTGCTCTTTTTCTGGGAAAGGCTGAACTGGTAGGATATTGGATACAGATACCATTAACACATATGATGCTGATAAATTACAAAAAAAAACAACCTTTAAAAAGAATAATATTTCAAAATTATATATTTTCACAACAGACAGATGGAGAGTGATTTCAGCAAAGCGTACTTTATTCGATCAGAAACAAGACAACTTTGGCCGGCTCGCAGGCCGGCTCTTATCCCCCGAGAAACCGCCACCCAAAACACACCCCTACTTCCCTATAGGTTATTTACAGTGGCCGAGAGTCCCATAGGCTCTCGGCCGGGAACCTAGCCCCCTGATTGGAGCGGGCTAGGATCCCCATATTCCATTGTCTCTTGAAGTGAAGCTCGATGTTAGTCTCTGGACTTGTCTGGACTTGTCTGGACTGGATACATTACAAAAAGTATATATTTTCACAACATAAATGAGCCGTTAAGACTTGGGTTGTCAATGTCCAGATGGGCCCTGGGGATGTCTTGGAATTATAACTGATCTCCAGACAACATAGATAAATTTCCTTGGAAAAATAGTTGCTTTGGAAATTGGACTCAGTGGCATTACACCTTGCTGAGGCCCCTCCCCAAAACCTGTCCTCCCCAGGATCTACTGCCAATCTCCAGGAATCTCCCAACCCCCTCCCAGCGGCCTACAACCCTAATTAAGATACATACATTTAGTAAATCCTAGAAGTTACTTCACTTTTGTTTGAAAGGAAATCTCTAATTATGACTAAATTTACCAGCCATCCTAAAAGAAATCAACCCTGACTGTTCCCTGGAAGGCCAGATACTGAAGCTGAAGCGCAAATACTTTGGCCACCAAATGAGAAGGGAGCACTCACTGGAGAAGACCCTGATGCTGGGAAAGATTGAAGGTAAAAGAAGAAGGAGACGGCATAGGATGAGATGCTTAGACAGTGTTATTGATGCAACAAACATGAAATTGAGCAAACTCCAGAGGACGGTGGAAGATAGGAGGGCCTGGCGTGATCTGGTCCATGGGGTCACAAAGAGTTGGACTCAACTGTGTGACTGAACAACAACTACCAGCACATAAGGACAATGATTGAAAAGCAGTCTTCAATTAACAATGTTTGCATAGGCCTTTTGCACCCTGCTGTTGCTGTTGCTCTTCCTTAGGCCAGGCTGAACTGCTAGCCTGATTGGGAAGGCTACATATGCTGAGCACGCTCCAATCTATTCAACCTGTGTGTGTGTGGGGGGGAGAATTCCCACTCCTCTGTTTTGTAACTGCAGGAATGCCGGATCTCTTCATGCAGCTGCTAATAGTTACGCATGGTTTGTCAATTTACAAAATGAATGAACTTTTTTTGCTTTGACTTTTGGTCTGATTTCATGCTGCTACTTAAACAGCTTCGCTGCCAGCAATATGCAGAGTGGTGCCTATGAAGCGCACACGGACTTGTGTTTCTCAATGAGTCGCTTCAAAGGCAAGAATGCCAACCTTAGATGACATCTTAGAGCACATAGGGGAGTTTGACTTATATCAGAAAAGGGCATTTTTTGTCCTGTGCTTGCTTTCTGCTGCCTTCACACCCATCTATGTAGGTATTGTCTTCCTAGGTTTGATACCTGAGCACCACTGCCGGAGCCCTGGAGTTGCCAAATTAAGTAGCAGATGTGGTTGGAGTCTTGAAGAGGAATGGAATTATACACTTCCAAAAGGAGACATCCATGGGGACAGTTTCGTGAGGCAGTGCAAAAGGTATGATGTGGACTGGAACATAACTGACCTGAACTGCACAAATCCGCTAGATGCATTCACCATTTACAAGAACAAGAGCGATATTCCTCTTACTACTTGCCAAGATGGCTGGTTTTATGACTTCTCGGGATCATCCATTGTAAGCGAGGTAAGGAACTTCAGGGGGGGGAAATATCTGTGAGCTTGCAGACAATACAGCTCCAAACCATGGGCCCCCAAGTTCTTCAGAGAGAAAAGTATTGCTTGTATATGTTCAGCAGCACCTCAAAGACTGACAACATTTGTGGCAGGATATGAGGTTTTGTGAGTGAAAGCTCATACCCTGCCACACATTTTGTTAGTCTTTAAGGTGCTACTGGACTCCTGCTCTTTTCTGAAAAAAAGTGGGAACAGGCTTTGAAAGACAATCCTGAGAGATCCTCCTGGGGGGATTCTGAGTGACTTCACTATATCTGGAATTCTTGCTGAACTCAAACAGAAAAAAAAATATGTTGGTAGGATCTTCAGGCTAAAGATGAAAGTTGTCATTGGGCAAGAGAATAGTAAGGACTGGGATAAATTTTGATGTATTATTCTATAACATTGCTATGTGTCTCTCTAGTTTAATCTGGTGTGTGAGGATGCCTGGAAGCTGGATCTATTTCAATCATGTGTGAATGTAGGATTTTTCATTGGCTCCATAAGCATTGGATACCTGGCAGACAGGTAAGTCAGGTTTTATACATCCAGGTGGGGTATTTATTTCTTTAATAAGAATAAAATGAGAAATTGTACATAGACTTCTATGCTGAAAAATTGCTTTTAGCTGAATTTTGATTAGGTCACTATGTCTTGGGGTAGGTAAAATATTTGCATGGCTTTTTGCTATCAGGTTAGCTAAGAACTGGTTACTTTCCCACCATGCCTGATAAGGAGTTTCATCTCCCTTTCACATTTGTAGGCCCCCACCATTAGTAGGCGGCTCATTTCAAACCTAGTCCATCCAGTAAGGGGAAAGATTTATGCTCATTTACAAGAGGGAGAATGCACAGTTATGTTTTAAGAGCACCAAAATGGCCTTATAGAAGCATGGCTTTCTATAATGTCTACAGTTTTTCCTTTTATCACCCTGTCAAGTGGTTAAGACACTGAACAGCATGCTGTGGAAGGTCGGTAGTTCAGCAGTTCGAGACCCGAGTGTGCCGCATGACGGAGTGAGCTCCCGTCTCTAGTTCCAGCTCCTGCCAGCCTAGCAGTTCGAAAGCAAGAAATTGCAAGTAGATAAATAGGTACCACTTCAGTGGGAAGGTAACAGCGTTCCGTGCGCCTTGGTGTTTAGTCATGCCGGCCACATGACCTCGGAAACATTTTTGGACAGCGTTGGCTCTTTGGCTTTGAAACAGAGATGAGCACCGCAACCCTAGAGTCGGATTTGACTGGCTTTCGAGCAAGGGAACCTTTACCTTTTACCTTTTATGTCTCTATAAACGTATTTTTCAGGTTTTTGGAAGCCTAGGAAAGCCTGAAAAATCAGCTAATAGATATGCTAGTGAAACTAATGTAATGATTCACTGTGGCTCAGTGCCAGATCATCTGATTTTCATGCGGTGTGAAAGATCTCTGCCTGAGACCCTGGAGAGTTGCTTTCAGACAAAGTAGATAGTGCTGCTGACCCTGACAGATCATCTGACTCAGTGAGGCAGTATCCTCGGTTCCAGCATTCTGCCTTCTGTTCTCTGAAAAATATCTCATCCAACCTAAAATAGAGCACAGTGGCACGTAGCTAGCAACATGTGAAGTCAAATGGTATTCAAGCCTGCTGTTGGCATTATGATGAACTCTTGAGACCAGCAAACACCGGTTGTTATCTCAAAGAAGCAGTAAGAAGATAACTAAAATGTTCAGGAAATATAGATGGGAAAAATACTCTAAACAATTTTTGATATTTTGTAAAAAAAAAAAAAAGTATAATAAAGGTAGGTGCCTTTTTTCCCTGCAGGTTTGGCCGTAAACTGTGCCTCCTAATTACCATACTTGTCAATTCTGTCTCGGGTGTTCTCATGGCACTCGCACCTAACTACACATGGATGGTGATCTTCCGGTTGGTACAAGGACTGGTCAGCAAAGGGGGCTGGTTAACAGGCTATATCTTGAGTAAGGCTGTTTACAGTTACATGCTCTTGTAAAGAAAGTAGCTTTGATCTGACAACATTGAGTCTGGGGACTTATGAGACCAAATGGACAATACAAGGAAAAATACATGCAAACTAAGTAATCTATTAACTGAGTTGCAAGCTTTAATCATTTTAATTGGTTTTATCAGTAGATTACCATGAACAATACATTTTAATTGGAGGGGCTGCTATTGGTACAATGCTTTTTAAAGATTTTCTTAGTTCTAGTCCGTTAATGTAATAAAGAATAAAATACATTAAAGATGGCAATAATTGATACCCTTTATTAATTATAAATTAATGTACACTCCATCTAGTATCTCAAAAAGGCACCAAAATAATAATTTATTGAAATTTAATAATTACTGAATATAAATGGTTCAAATTTAATAGCAAAGATCTTCAGTTGGCAATCCTATCTAACCTATTATTGAAATAACTTCTGATGGTGAAATTGAATGAAGATCATTTCACAGAAATATTCCATAGTTCTTTCATTCAGTACATCACTTTGCATATACTGTGTTTCGTTTTATATATTAAAAGTGGAATATTATCCCTTTACTTTAAGGACCTCAGGGTACCATAAACGGTAGGTTCTCAGAGGTGTAGGTCAGGCCTAGCATTGATAAGAGGTAAAATATACAAGACATCTTCAAACTTTTTTCTGAGCTTCTGATAGATTAATTAGGGTTATATATTTTGGGTTGGGTCATAAAACACAGTGAATTTGCTGAGTTTGTTTGATTTCTAATTAGAAGGTACTCTGCATCACTTTGTAGAAGCATACTTTTGAAAGATCAGTAGTTTCTCATACTAGAAAAAATCTTACTAGAACTAAGTGTATGGAATCTATGAAATTCAGTGTGACGACATATGGGATCTAGATTCTGTGACCTTCAGCTCATTTACCTTTCCTATTTATTCCATTATGTCGATGACATTTCTCTGCTTTTTTAAAGTTACAGAATTTGTTGGTTTGAGCTACAGAAGGACGGTAGGCATTGTTTACCAAGTGGCCTTTACGGTTGGACTCCTTGTACTTGCTGCCATTGCTTATGCAGTTCCTCACTGGAGGTGGCTACAACTTGCTGTTACGCTACCAAACTTCTTCTTCTTGCTGTATTACTGGTAATTTCTCCCAAATAAGTATTAGTGTTAGAAAATGCATCCAAACCTATAATTGCAATTAAAATACCATATTTTAGTGGGGGTGGACATAGCAGTCAGGGATGACAGTATGGCCAACAAGCCTGTCAACATATGTATCTCCCAATTTACTCTATCCCCTTCTTGCCTGTTCCCTACTTATCACCGTCCTGAGAAACCAAAAACTTAAGAGATACCACAGGGAAAGGAGAAGATAAAACAGAATGCAGCCACAGATTTTACAGACCCATCAGAAGAACGGTCAGACTTGGTCTGGTCAGCTCAAGTCCAAAAGTCAGAGAAAATCTCTTTCAGGGTAGTTTGCCCTTCCAAAAATAACAATCAGGGAGTGCTTCGCTCATTTTTTGGTTAGCCATTATCTGAGTGCAGAGGTCTGTTGAACTATGTCAATCTACAAAATGTCTTTAGAACCTCTTTGCACTTGTGATCCTTGTTTTACTTTGCATAGGGAGGCAACCCAAAACACTTCAGATACAGGCAGGGCAATCCAGAGGGCCACCTCTGCCCCAGTGGGCAGCTGCCAACACACCTGTGGTGGCACTAGTCCGCTAGTGGGTTCCAGAGGTGAGGAGGGGCCGCGTGAACTGCCCCCATGCCAGCATCCCCAACGACCACTCTGTCACAGCCTGAACAGGTCACAAGGTGCACCTGCTATTTTTGGCCACTGTGTGACAAAGTGTTGGACTGGATAGGCCATTGGCCTGATCCAACATTGGCTTCTCTGATGTTCTTATGTTCTTACAGGAAAGCTGTGATGGATAGGGTGGACAGAACCAATTGCAGGCCAGCAGGACCAGGCCCTGTGCATGTCACAGCTGAGGGACAGGGAGGGGAGGGTCCATGGACCATGGGGCCATGTCCATGGCACACCCATGTCCCCCCTGCCAAACAGTAATGTGACCTGAGGTGACCGTTGGCTGGGGGGGACCAAGCGATGCCCAGCACCCAGAGGCTGACAATCCTAGCCACCGCAGCTCATTGCAAAGGGGTCAGGGTATGGAAACGGTCCACAATATCAGCAGTGTATGTCAGGGCAAAGAGTAAGGTTGCCAAATTCCAGGTGGTGGCTGGAGATCTCCTAGGTTTACAACTGATCTCCAGGCAAAAGAGATCAGTTAACCTAAAGAAAATGTCCACTTTGGAAGGTGGGCTATATGGCATTATACCCCCTTCCCAAATGCCACCTTCCTCAGGCTCCACCCCCAAAATATCCAGGTATTTCCCAATCCAGTGCTGGCAACCCTGGGAGAAAGCAGAGGGCAGCAGCTGAGTTGGGCCTAAATGTACCAGGCAGCCCCACAACTGTGGCCCATGCACACAACCACCTCACCTCCCCCCGAGCTTCACAGTCTGGGCGCTGGGATCTGTTCCCCCCCCCCCGAGAGGACCCACAGGTTTACCACAGCCAGCATTGTTTCTATAGCCTGGATGACCAGGCGACCTGCAACCATCAGGTATCTTCACGGACCTCGTGGCCATGTTCCTGGGCAGCATGCATGATGCACAGATCTTTGCGGCATACAGCCTCAACTGCCTGTTGGCCACCTGGCCAGAGGGCAAAAGATGCACCACCTGCACAAAAGCAAAATACAGACACACACAGTGATGGGCACAGTCATGCCCCAGGAGGGTCCACAGTCCCAGCCCCATGGTGGGGGGAATTTGCCTGAAAAACCCCACCCCCAGGCAGATGCTGGTGCCATCCAAACTATGCTGACCCATCCTGTGTAGAAGTTCTCAGCGACTGCAAATGATCACTCCACTGCAGCAGCTGCAGCTGCCGTGCAGGGCTTAGATCCTGCAAGGGAATGAGTCCCAGGATTGCTCAACAAACTGACCCACCAAGGAAGGTTGGGCAGCTGCCAAATACTCCAAACCAGCATTGAGCCCTGTCCTCCACTGGTGGGAGTTCCTGGCAAAGGGGTGAGCTAACAACCCAGTGCAAAGCTGAAGGCATTCCACCCCCCCCCCAGCAGTTCTCCCATTAAACATTCCTGGGATCTTTCCCCATTTTGTGACAGGGGCCATGGTGCTGGGAGGCAGTGGCTTTGGCCGCCCATGCACAAACACAATGCTGGGCTTGGTTGTGGGAGGCGGTATTGCCAAGGTGGCACACAGGGGAACAGGAAGGCATGTCTGGAATTCTGGTCTTTGCTTACCTGCCAGTGCACGGTTGCCTCTTTGGGTTGAGCTTCCAGAGAGGAGGCACCTGTTAGGGTTCTGCAGTGGCACATGTTAGCCACATAGTATGGACTTTGAGCTCCCTCTTGGGTGTTAGCACTAGTGCTCTCCCAGTAGTGCTAAGTGCCCACTTTGTGCTTTTCCTGTCACCAGAGTGCCATGGCAGTCCAAGTTTGGATGGCAGGTAGCTCTGAGACAGAGTCTTGTGCTGTGCACCCTGCCTAATGAGATATGGCTTAGGGAGCCAACTAACTTCTGCCACACATGCTCCTCAGCCAAGCCCCTTCCATGCCAGTGCATGGGCCTATGCCACTGGCCCGCTAATGGGTCGCTGCCAGTGCTCCCTCTAAGCTGTGGAGTCTTGTGAGCAAAAATTCCTCTTTGTGAGCTGCTGGCATTAAAGTTGTGAGCGAGCGATTTGGCTGCTGCATAGATTAGTTTGCTCTGGCAGCCATCCTCCCTGAGCTAAGACAAAAATGTTTGAGCCAGAGGCTAAAAAACTGTGAGCTAGCTCACACTAACTCAGCTTAGAGGGAACACTGGACAGGTCTGTGACAGCAATGAAGGGCAGCGCTAGGGCACCGCCCTGGTGTAACTCCTACTTACACTGGCTTATCTCTGAGATACCCTAGCATAATTCGGCTCCTTCCCAGCCGCAGAGCCCTGGTTGCAGGCGGGGGCCACTTTGCCTCCCCCAGAAGGAGAGAGAAGCTGGTGACGGGTGATGCCAGCATCACAGCATCTCTGTGGAGGGGTGGAGACGGCAGGGATTTAAGAGTGACTCTGCCCCCGCCCTTTCTCTTTTGCCTGCGTGCTCTGCCCAAGAGGATTGGAGTGTCGGGGACTGAGGCCACAGCAGTGTCAGCAGCCTCCTCAGATGTCCATGGAACAGGACCAATGCTCCCTCTAAGCTGTGGAATCCTGTGAGCAAAAATTCTACTTTGTGAGCTACTGGCATTAAAGTTGTGAGCGAGCGATTTGGCTACTGCATAAATTGGTTTGCTCTTGAGCCATCCTTCCTGAGCGAAGACAAAAATATGTGAGCCGGAGGCCAGAAAATTGTGAGCTAGGTCTCAGTAACTCAGCTTAGAGGGAACACTGGACAGGACCATGGCCTACATGCTGGCAGCAGTGGCCTCATCAGGAGTCCGCAGGACTGCAGACAGACAGGACCAAAGCCTACGCAGCGGTGGTCTTGTGAGTTCAACAACCACTTGTGCAGGCTGGGGAAAATCAGGACCTGCTGTGCTGGCTGTTGGTGAATAGGGATGTGCATTCGCCTTGGCTGAACTTGTTAAAAAAATGAATAATGCCTATACAGCATTATTCAGACTCCCCAGAAGGTGAATCAGATTCTCTAATCTGATTCGGCTTTCTGAATAGATATTGCCATATGGAATCTATTCGGCTTCTATATGGCAATCCAATTTCAGGGTAAGCTGGCTGGGAAAGGAGAAGGGAGGCATTTAAAACATGCCTCCCTGATCTTTTCTCCCTTCTCCAGCTGGCTTGCAACCACGAGACAGCTGGAGAAGGCACAGGAGGCATGTTTAAATGCCTCCCCGATTTTTTTTCCCAGCTGGAGAAGGGGGGGGAAACCAGGGAAGCATTTAAGCCCCCCCCCGAAGTAGCTCAGGGGGGCAGGAGGCTTCCATCATTGAAGGGGAGGCAAATTGCCTTTCCTTCAATGAAGGGAACTGGCCGCCTTTGTGGTGTGACTCCAGCAAGGGGGGGATTTAAATTTTAAATCTCTCAGTCTGGAGTCGCACTGCAGGGGCAGCACACTCTTTTCGTATTTGCCTTCCCTTCAATGATAGGAACCTCTCCCCCCTCAAGGGGCGGATTATTATACCCTATGGGGACAGTCCCCATAAGGTATAATTGAGCCGAATTATCTGGCAAGTCGAATAATTCCCAAACCCCAGAATCATATTGATACTGGGATTTGGGAATATCAGCAAATACCAAAATTTTTCGGGTTTGGTAGATCCAAACCTGAAAAATTCTAATTTTTTGGGGAGCACACCCCTAGTGGTGAGCCAGAGGTATGGTTCACACCCGGGGCAAAGGTGGCTCACCAAATATATGACAAGAAGGTGATCTGAAGCAACCCTGGCCTTGGCCTATTTCCGCATTCAGGGTTGCCCTTGCTGCAAAAGTTGTAACTAGTCAATAAAGTGGCCCTTAGTTAAACCTAATATGGTGTCTGTCTGTTTCTTCCGGCTGGGGGGAGCAATGATTAGTTGGCTACCTGGACACTTTCAGTCCCCCCCCCCCGATTGCACTGTCAGTTTGGGGATAGATTCTTTTTTGAAATCTGTCTTTTCTTGATGCTTAGACCAGTTCTTGCTTGATCCTACTTTGTTACAGAAAGTGGCATGTATTTTACTATCAGTTAATAATGCGTAGTTTCTTGATTTTTCAGGTGTCTTCCAGAGTCCCCAAGATGGCTGATAGCCCAGAAGGAAAGTGACAAAGCTCTGAAGATAATTAGGCGTATTGCCAAGGGAAACAAGAAAAAACTGCCTCCATCTATGGAGGTAATTGGTTTACAAATGTAGTGCTAACTCACAGTTAGGCCACACATAAGCTTCTACAACAGACCTCTGTGTGTGAGGGATGAGCATGAACATGGCTTGCTTGTCATGCCCACACATTCACTCCTTTCTCCTGTTGTGTGCAGAGCATGACTGAAAGCTGCCAGATTTGGGAAGACTTCAGTCAAATTCTTGTCATGACATTTTCCCTTAGAAACTGGAATTCTAAGCTGTGATACAGAATCTTGGTTTTATGGGGTGGAGACAAATTCCAGTTTGACCAGGCACCTGTCTTCAGACATCACAGCAAACTGGAGTTTGCTTCAAGGCTTCCCAAATCCAGGAGCTTTTAGTTATGCTTTAAACATAAAGGGAAAAGGAGGGAATGAGAATGCAAATATGACAAACAGGTCACATTTGTGTCCATCACAAATAAAATGAGGTTTGCCATGACGACTAAATGTGACCTAAGTCAGCATTCAAAACAGACTGATTTAGCAAGCAGAGCCGCACAACAGAAAGGCTTCAAATCACTTAATGCAGAGTAGTTGCCCTTTCCACTCAGTGAAATGTTGTACTGCAAGATATTTGTGGGACCAGGGGACTGCTTCAAAAACAATAGGTTGCCAACTCCAGGTTGGGAAGTTCTTAGAGATTTGGGGAATGGCCTGGAGAGAGCAGGATTTGGAGAGGGGAGGGACTTTAGCAGGTGATCATGCCAAATAGTTCACCCTCCAAAGCAGCCGTTTGCCCAGGGGAATTAATCTCCGTAGTCCGGACATCAGTTTAATACTAGGAGGTCTCCTGGTTGCACCTGGAGGTTGGCAACCCCATTAACGAGTCCAGATCAGCGCCATGCATATCAAAGTTGTTTCTGGATTTCTCAGTATGCATAACAGATATGGAACTGTTTATGTAAGCCTTTTGTGCAAAAATAAAACTCAAACAGAAGAAGAAGAAAAGTTCGTTTTTACACAGTCCTTCCTGCAGCAAAGGGAGAAAAAAATAAATAAAATCCAGCCGTTCAGAAGGGGGAGCGGGGCACAAAGAGCTGATTGGCAAAAAGAATTCCGTGCCTACAACCACAGCTGACCCTTATATGAGCACAATGAGTGCAAATGCCTTACCTCTCGTCTCGGTACTTCTGAATCCCTTTTGGCATAATGATACTGGAATCAAGGAGCAAATCTATTTCTTATTGAGCAGTTGGACAGAAACACGTCACCTTCTTCCTTTTCCTTATACTGCTTAAAGTAAAAGGGCTACAGATTTGCTTTTTTAAAAAAAAATATGAAAATTTAGGGCAGAGGACTAAGACATTGTGCATGCATGCGCACGTGACACTCTAAATCCGTGACCCATTAAAGGCAAAAGTAATTTCAACATCTACCTATGCTAGTAATTGTTTTTATTTGCAATGTGGCTTTTGGAAATGTTACAATATGACTTCTTTTATAAGCTTGTATGAGAATGCCTGACACCATGACTCGAAACTCTCATTTCTCCAGTTTTGTCTGCACTCCCATGATATTGAATCTTGTTTTCTTTATCTTCCTAGAACCTTCAGCCTGAGGAAGAAGTGGGTGAAAAAGTAGGACCTTCATTTCTAGATCTGGTGAGGACACCTCAGATGAGGAAACATACACTCATTTTAATGTACACTTGGTAAGAGACATTCACAGAAAACGTTAAAATAAATCATTAACCTCCGTGAGCATGACTCATCTCCTCTCACACATGGAACTCACAGAGCAGATCACTCTCTAGGCCGCAGAGGAGCCCTTCAGTTAGGGTTGCCAACTCCAGGTTGAGAAATTCCTGGAGATTTGGGAGTCGATCCTGGGGAGGGGAGGGACCTCAGTGGGGTATCAATGCCATAGAATCCACCCTTCAAAGCAGCCATTTTCTCCAGGGGAACCAGTCTCTGTCACCTGGAGACAAGCTGTAATTCTAGGATCCCTATTTCTGCAGTGCAATGTGCTCATGTATTGCCATAAATACCATAAAGTTTCTGTTGATTCCTGGAAGTACCCTACATCACTTCCATGTTTTCCTTGGAAGTCGCATAGCAAAGTAGCTGACATCACATACTCTCCATTTCCCCACTCCCAACCCTCCCACCATCCTGGCAACCCTGCCCCTCAGCCATGAAGTTTACCTCAGCCATGAAGTTTATCAGGTGACTTTGCATCAGTTGCTCTCCCTTCTCAGCCTAGCCTGCCTCACAGGAACAGGATCAGCAATTGTTGGCCCTTTAGTAAAAAGATCTGGTGAGGTGAGCATACAGTCTTCAGAGGGCTAGAAGTGTTCATGAGATATAAGGCAGGGGATAGCCTTTTTCTAATGAGTCATATTAGGGCTTCCATTTACCCAGTACTGGCAGGCAACCCCCACCGTTGTCCCCAATCTTTCCTTGCTGAATGGAGCAGCAGAGGGAAATTGGGTGGGGGGACAACTTTACATGGTGTGTTGACTTCATTTCCCGGATGAAGTCCCAGAATTGTCATCAATACATTGAGCAGCATTCTAGGAATTTCCCCAATCCCTTTTAATATAGAGTTAATGAAAATTCCTAGAGCATTGTTCAAGGTGGTGATGTCTCTTTCAGCTCTTCACCCAGAAATGATGTTGACACTTCATGTGACATAGTTTTTACCATGCCCTGCCCCGTAAAACTCCTACTGTAAAACTCCTTCCTAAACCAGGGGTGATTTCCCACAAGTGCTGCTCCGCGCTCACTCCTCCCTTGTGCCCCGCTGGTACGTATCAATTTCACACATTTTGCCCCGCAGCTTCGCATGATTTTCCCCGCGTCTACTCAATCCTCAAAAAACAGGATTGAGTAGATGCGGGGAAAATCACGCGAAGCTGTGGGGCAAAATGCAGCCGCGCAGCAGCTTGTGTGAAATTGACACGTACCAGCGGGGCAAAGAGAAGAGTGAGCGCGTAGCAGCGCTTGTGGGAAATCACCCCAGATGTGTGAGGAAGTATTAAGCCTTCAGCGCTCTGCAGAAAGCCAGTGTGTTATAGTAGTTAGTGTGGTGGGCTATGATCTAGGAGGACCAGGTTCAAATTTCTGTTCAGCCACAAAGCTTTTTGGGTGACCTTGGGCCAATCACCCTCAGCTATCTTACCTCATGGGGTGGTGTAAGATTAAAATGGAAAAGGAGAATGATATATGCCAACGTGAGTTCCTTGGAGAAAGGGTGGGATAAAAATGTAGTGAATAAATAATAAATGGGAGCCTGTTTGAACATGCATTATACTCACCCAGTAGTGACACTGCTTGTCAAGGCTACATACATGCTACTCAGATCTTGCCTCTTATCTATTTTTAAGCTGTTCTCTGCTTTTGGAACCTGGCTAGCAATAAGACTGAGGGTTCTGAATGAGTTTGAAGAACTTGGCTGAAGAACTTTCTTTCTTTGCTCTCTGTTCTTTGTATAGGTTCACAAGCTCTGTACTGTATCAGGGCCTCATCATGCACATGGGAATTGCTGGTGGAAACATTTATTTGGACTTTTTCTACTCTGCTCTTGTTGAATTTCCAGCTGCCCTCATACTCATACTCACAATTGAGCGCATAGGTCGTCGCTATCCCTGGGCTGTAGCAAATCTGACAGCAGGAACTGCTTGCCTTGTTACAGCTCTGGTCCCTCAGGGTGAGTTCTTCACAGCTCTTTCTTTACATACCCTTCCTCTGCATTTAAGAGGTACATGCTGCTCTTTCTACTCGGGCATGTCCTATGTAATCCTGTATGTGGAACACTAGTGTAAGAAGTCCCCAGGGGAACAGTATTTGGTCAACTAGATTGAACAGTCATCTTGAAGTAGGGTATAAATTGGGCTGTGACAATATCTGTGGAAACTTTTATCTGGCAAATACATGGTCACAGCACATGTTTTTTTGTGCACTTTTCAATTTTTAATGTTCTGGTTTTTAAAAAAAACTTCTTGACAAATGTCCCATGCCATATCAGCAAAAGGTTTGGATGGAGGCCACAGGTGCCCTGTGAAGTAAAAGTCCTAACAAGATTTATATGGTACTATCAGTTTTACACAGAAAATGTTAGGACACCATGCAAACCTTCAGGAGTTTAACATTGTGTCTTTTCAGATCTCTATTGGCTTAAAATCACTGCCGCTTGCTTAGGCAGGATGGGCATTACGATGTGCTATGAAATGGTTTGCTTAGTCAATGCAGAACTGTACCCAACGTTTCTCAGGTGAGTGAATCATCTTCAGATATTCTATAACAGAACGGTGCTGTTTGGCAAAGTACAAGTTGCCTTTCAAATCAGAGCGCCAGACTTTTATTGTACGCTCTTTGTTATGACCTGTCGTTCTTCATATGCTCGTTAAAGGGCCAGTTATGCAACTGGGTGGGCATTTGCAGTGGTAGTTAATGATCAGGTGGGGCAATAGGGGCACCTGACCAAGGCACAACTGGGAAGAGGCCCCAAAAGGACATCATAACGCATATAAGGTAATGACACATCAAGGGAAGGTACATTTTCTTTTCAATACGAAAGAACTAGATCTGTTTTATAGAAGGCAATTTAAAAGCAATGTTTGCTTAGAGGCTGTAAGGAGAGCCCCTGACACTGGAGCTTTTAAAAGGAGAAACAGCTTTGAGGAGGACATGCCATTTTTCACTACAAAATTGCCTCCAAAGCAGCTTACAACCCCCCCCCCATAAAACCAGCAAAACATAGAAAAGAGTCACTGCAATCTAAAAGCAAGAGCAATAAATACAAATACAAACTGGCCAGCAACAGTTTAAACAGATAAGCCCATCAGAATACCCTCCAGTAGAATAATAATTCATCTTAATCCAGGTGTTTCCTCTTTTCCTGATCCTCTTGAATACTTAGGGGGAAAGGGGGAAAGGCTACAGTTGGAATACTAGCCTAAACCAGTAAAACAAATGCCTGATCCTTATTGACATCTGCCCATTCAGAAGGAAGCCCAGGTCAAAAAGTATGCCCAGATGGCAACCCTGAGTCTTCAGGGGAGTACTACCCTACCAAAAATAGGTGGAACACAACCTGGAGCATCTGAATCCACCACAATACTAGTACCTCGGTATTGTAACAATCCAGTTTCAGTTTCTTCACCTTCATCTAAAGCATCACTGCCTTTATTTATTTTATTTATTTAGAGAGCCAGTTTGGTGTAGTGGTTAAGTGCGCGGACTCTAATCTGGGAGAACCGGGTTTGATTCCCCACTCCTCCACTTGCACCTGCTGATGTGACCTTGGGTCAGTCACAAGCTCTGGCACAGCTGTCCTTGAAAAAGAGCAGTTTCTGTCAGAGTTCTCTCAGCCCCACCCACCTCACAGGGTGTCTGTTGTGGGGAGGGGAAGGGAAAGGAGTTTGTAAGCTGCTCTGAGACACTTTTGGGTAGTGAAGGGCGGGGTATAAATCCAATCTCACCCTTTAGGGCCACCAAGGTGCCTAACAAAAGAAAAACAAACATAATAAAATCACATTTTAAAAAACATTAAAACAAATGATTAAAATGATTAAATCCTAAGATGAAATACACATAACAACAAAAAAATTGAAATATAGGGCAGGAAGGAATGATCACTGATTCAGCCAATTCCCTGCCTTTTTCATTTCCACTGAAAACCAGATATAGAACTGTGTAATCTGTTTGCCATTGATATCATAGCCCAAATCTTCTGATGACCCCCCCCAGTCATATAATGTAGATCTTAAAGGAGAATCAGAAAAGAAGGGGAACATAGAATTGGGGGTCTGCCTCAGCATAGAAATGTCAGAGTCCCACAACACTCAGGCTCAACAACATTCCTTCCAGAAGGATCAAGTTTATTGAGTGCAGTAGAAGCAAGTCATCTTTGGTTACAGTTTCTGTGTAAAGGCTAACCCCACAGGTGGGAAGGGGGAAGATATACTGTGTTTGAAGTGAGACCCTCTGATGAGAGCAAGCCTTGCACGCTCAAAGTAACGACTACAAGTTCCCAGGGATGCGAAAGCTTGAAGCATCAAGGTCAAGATAACAGATAAGACAGAGGGAGAAAATGCAAGTTAACATTCCAGGACAATAAGATGATCACTCCATCAGCTCCCTTCCCCCATAAACCATGGCGGCATAGTTATGGTACACTCAAGCCCTTTCCCTCCCTATTACCTTCAATCTTATTTAAAACCCTATTTTGTTTGTCCCTCCTACTGTCCATTTCTAACCTCTTTCCTCCCAATCCAATCACCCTGCCCTCCTCTGTCAGTTCTGTCTACCCCTCATGTCTCTCAAAGGACCCATGCCTACTCCTTTTTGTAGAAAAAGCCCAGCAGGAACTCATTAGCATAATAGGCCATACCCAACAGCAGGAACTCATTAGCATATTAGGCCACACCCCTGACAGCACAGCTCATTCACCTATTAGGCCACACCCCCATGTTACCAGAAGTGTGGTCATCTAGCCACACCCACCTTTTGCTTCTTATTCTCTTTACCTTGTTTGTTGTCAAAACCCAGGGCTTTTTGCATGTTAGGCCACACACCCCTAATTGTAGCCAATCCGAATGAGTTTCTGCTGCTGGGTGTGGCCTATTATGCTAATGGGTTCCTGCTGGGCGTGGCCAACTTGGGAGCCAGCCGGAACGCCGTTCCTGTGCGTTCCTGTCCAAAAATAGCCCTGACTGTGTCCCATCTCTCAGCTCTACATCCCCTTCCCTTCAACTGCCTCAACATCCTATGCTTCCCCCCGCCCCCGTCCTCATCATCTTCTCCACCCAGTCTGCTTCCTCAGGTCACCGTCTGAAGGTGGCTTTCTGGTGATCTGCATGAGCAACGTCTATGGACAGGAGAGGGACAGGTTGGTTCTTCAGCCCGAACAAAAAAATTGTCTGAAAGATGGGCTATCATTTAACAGGAATAATAGCATGTTCCCAGTCAGAGTTACTTCAGTCTAAACCCACTGAAATGCATTAACTTAGACTGAAGTAACTCTGTATAGAATTACACTGTTAATCTCCTATTGGCACAGAATAGTAACCATAACTAAACTACATGTGAAAAATTGCAGAAATCTGGGAGTTCTCGTCTGCTCCTCCATGTGTGATATTGGTGGAATCATAACCCCATTCCTTGTCTATCGACTGGCAGATATCTGGCATGAGTTGCCACTTGTTGTCTTTGGTAAGAATCTTATCTTGTTCTTTTAGGTTGACTGAAGGTACCAAAAAAAATAAACAGTGATTTGTTGTAGAGAACTGTGCTGTTGAAAATACAGGTGCAGGTACACATTGTGGTGAACGGGTTCACATAGGAACTGACTCCCAAACAGCAGGTGAATGTGCAGGCAGACTAATATGGTCCATACTTAAGTCAAAATGGGAAGCTGGGTTAGTCTGTCTGTAGCAGTAGAAAAGAGCAAGAGTCCAGTAGCACCTTAAAGAGTAAACAGATTTGTGGCAGGGTATGAGCTTTCGTGAGTCATTGCTACAGAAGAAGTGAGCAGTGACTCACAAAAACTTATACCCTGCCACAAATTTGGTTAGTCTTTATAGTCCATACTTGTTTTGGGGGGTTTTGTCCCCCCCGAAGGGGATTTTTTTAATTGCTTTTCTAATAACTACAAATGGAAAATTAGGAAAGGGAATCTACAATCTAAGAGAGAAAGTAAAGAAAACCCTCTTGTTGATCTAAGGGAGAAAGTAAAGAAAACCCTCTTGTTGGTTTAACAGCTGATCTTCGGTTTCTTGTTTTATCTCAAAAGTAAGGCTATTTCAGTCTTATTTATTTAGATCTCTTCAGTTCATATGGTGCCTTAAAAACAGCTCCCTAAATCCTGTTGTCACAAATTCATATTCTGTCAACCCAGTTTAATAAATACTTAACATACATTTGTTATTCCTGTTTGCAAAATGTGAATAGTTTGGAGTGATAGACAAGAATGAGGGTTGGGATGCTAGTTGCGGAGCAGCAAAGGTGTGTAGTGGTAGGATTTTATTTTACTTATTCACTTCAGTTATTCCCTGCTGTTGTCCCCAGTGGGGACCCAGGTAGCCTAGATCCTTGGCTCCTTTTTATCCTCACAATAACTCTGTGAGGGAGGTTAGGTTGAGAGTGTGTGACTGGCTAAAGGTGACCCAGCAACCCTCTGAGACAGAGTGGGTATTTAACCCTCCTAAGTGGAGTTACACTTTTCTAAGTTCAGCTTTTTGAAAAACTCTGCTAAGGATTGCACTGTAAAATAATTAAACTGATGAATTATGTTTTTTTTAATTAAAAATCACATATTTATACCGCATCGTCTCCTGTGCAGTCTCAGAGTGGCTTACAATAAAAACATTTGACAATTATATACCATAAAATACATTTAAACATTTAACTAGCACCAACTAAAAATACAATTACAGTAAAAATCCATAAAATATCAATAGTATAAGAGCAAATTCCTAAGAAATAATCCACTCAACAGTTACCAAATACTGGCAGTGGGCAGTTCCCAGGGGTCATTTCCTGCAGGAGCGCACAGGAGCAGCGCTCCAGCAGTAAAGAGCTCAGGGGGTGGGCACATGCAACAATCCCCACCCCCTGCTCCCAGCAGCCCTCAGTCAGAGCAAGAAGCAGCCAGGTAAGCTGCAGAGCCCCCCCCCCCAGTCCAAAACAGTCCAGTGGCACCTTTAAGACCAAGTTTTATTCTGGTACAAGCTCTCCCTCCTCTGCAAGGACAGATCTGCATGTGTCCCCCCCCATAGCTAGCAATTCAAAACAGTCCAGTGGAGCCTGAGTGGTGGGTGTTGCCTTCTGACACACTTCCAGTGATGTCAGGGGGTGTGGCATATGCAAATGAGTTATGCTAATGAGCTCCTGCTCCTCTTTTTCTACGAATGACCCCTGGCAGTTCCACAAAATTTAGCTAAAGGCCTGATGAAACAGAGTGGCCTCACATGCCCTGGAGAATGCAAGAAGACCTTGCGGAACGCAGGCCTCATCAGGGAGCTGGTTTCAAAGGGCAGGAGTAACAACCAATAAGGCCTTGGCCATGGTGGAAGATAAATGGGCAATCTAGGGGCCAGGCACCTGCAAGAAGCTCTGAGTAGGGATGGGCACAAACTGGCTCACGAGCTAAAGTTCATGATGAATTTTGGGTGGTTTGTGATTTGTGAACTGAAGTTCGTGACAGGTCAACTGGCACGAACTTTCCACAAACTTTGAAGCAGTTCATAGGCAGTTCATATGGTTTGTTGATGGATACATTTTGAGACAGTCTCCCCTCAATCAAAATGTTTACCAGTATTCTTCTCCGTTTCAAGATTGTTTTTCCCCTCTTTTGCTAGGATTCCTTTGTATTCCCTTCCCATTTTCTTGCACAGAGTTTACAAAATCCCTTCCCCTTCATGGATTTGTGACCCTGTGCTTTGAGATCAGTTGTTTTAAGCTTGCAGTGCCTGTGGCACTGGGTTCTTCAGGACACTCTGTGATTGTGCTGGTACTGCTAGGCACCTTGTACATTGTACTGGTTCTTCTGGGCTTGCAAAAATGCTCCCCTCCCGCTTGGATTGTGATTAATATGGCATTGCCACATTGACACTGGGTTCTGTTGGCACTCTTTGATTGCACTGGTACTGCTGGGCACTCTGTACATTGCACTGGTTCTGCTGGGCTTGCAAAAATACTCCCCACCTTCAGTTTCTACTGCAAAGATTCTTTGGTTTGTCCTTAGTCCCATTGGGCTTGCACTGCCACAGTGGCACTGGTTCTGATGGGCTTGCAAAAATGCCCTCCCTTGCTTGGATTATGATTGAGCTGACATTTCCACATTTGCACTGGGTTCTGTTGGGCTCTAGTACATAGCACTGGTTTTGCTGGGCTTACAACACTCCCCCCCCCGCTAGGATTGTGATTTTGTGCTTGACAGTTCTGTTGAGCTGGCATTGCCACATTGGTACTTATTTCTGCTGGGCAGTCTTTGATTGCACTGGTATTGCTGGGCACTCTGTACAAAAATACCCCCTTCAGTTTCTACTGCAGAAATATTCTGGCTTGACCTTAGTCTTGTTGGGTTTGTACTGCCACAGTGGCACTGGCTCTGCTGGGTTTGCAAAAATGCCCCCTACCTTCAGTTTCTACTGCAGAGTTTCTCCGGGACTTTGATTTTGTTCTTCTGGGCTTCTATTGACCTTGCTTTTTTGCTGTTTTTTCCCCTCTATTGGAAACAATGGAGGATAGGGGCACCTTCTTTTGGGGGGGGTAACTGGGTCTCACCAAACTTGGAGGGCAGGTAGAGGAGAGTGAGCCAGAGACTCCCTGAGAGCTTGGTGTCTCTAGGACCCCAGGAGGGCCATTCTACTGTGTCATGAACCTAACAAACCTTACCAGTTCATTTGGGAGCTAAAAGTTTTTGACAGTTCGTGACTCACGAACCACGAAACAAAGTAAACCACATTTTCCAAGTTTGTTCCCATCCCTAACCCCGAGGGGGTTAACAGGAAGAGGCGGCCCAGTTAGTCTCAGCTAATATAGTGCACTCGATACAGCATGTATTCTTCTGAACTTTTGTTTGTGCTTTATGTTTGAAGCTGTGGTTGGCCTTATTGATGGTGGATTGGTGCTACTCTTACCTGAAACAAAAGGAAAAACTCTACCAGAAACTATTGAAGAAGCTGAAAATATGCACAGGTATGGGCTTGTAGAACTTATTCTAAAGAGAAAGGAATTAACAAGGAACAAAATATTCTAAATATTACTGGGCACAAGTATGTGTAACCAAAAGGAGAAAAAAAAGAAGAGATAATGGCTTTGGGGGCACCAAATTATCAGAGTGCAAGAGTAAGCAAATAAAACATATTTCTTTCCTGTAGAGCTGCAAATTTTGTTGATTAATCTATTTAAAACCTTTTGATAGACTAAAAAAGTAGCCCCCAATTAATTGGGCAACATTTTAAAAAATAATTTTAAAAAATAGAAATTAAAAGTGTGGGTTTTATTGTATCCTTATGATACAATGAACTGCCCAGAGTGACAGGCATCATATTAGAAGGGTCATACATTCATACCTGAATATGAAGCCCCTCTGCTTCACTGAGGCAATTGATTTGAAGTTTAGTATCAGTACCAGCTACCTTATTGAAAAGATAAGATAACTGAGCATTTAACTGGAAATTATTTGGCTATCAGAGACTTATTTCTTTTTTATTTTGACCCTAGCTTTTTGGCTTTATTCCCACAGGCAAGGAAAGCACAAAGAAAAAATGATTTATCTCCATGTTCAAAGCTCAGATATGAAGAACTAAGATCTAAGAACAGTTGCGTTTGCCTGGATGTTCTCTTGATGATGCATGAAGGAAAAAATGGGGAAAGTGTGGATACGTGTAGATTGTGATAGTCCTTTAAACCTTCTGTCCACTTTTGGTTCTTTGTTCAGTTTTGATTTACCTCAGTGAATGTTCAGAGAATGCATGGCTGAAGAGAACTGAATACAATACCCCCTGATGTTGTCCCAGAGCTGCTTGGAAACATCTAAGTGCTTGAATCAAAACTACAGTGGTTGTTGAGAGCCCAAGTTACAATACACAGTCCTCAGGTCAGTTCTAGGTCTTCCATGAGGTTACTCATACATGCGTTTGTAAGTTGTTTGCTGCATGGGGCCAGTTTTAGAATCAGGACCATGATGGACAGGAGGAAGGTGCTTAGCCTCTCCTTTCGCTTAATACTTTCACAACATGAAACAACCTCAGGAGGATGCTATTTGTTGTGTTAGGGAGACTTTTGGGTGCCCACACACACACAAGAGGCTCCTAATGGGGCAAAAAGTGCTCCTTGGGGCTGTTCAGATCAGGAACATTGGCTGATTTCACACTAGAGCTGCCTCGCGGTTGCGCCGCCGTTTGCCCCGACACTATTTGTCAATTTCACACCCAAAGCTGCGGGGCTGCATTTGACCCGCGGCTTCGTCCAATTTCCTCCGCAGTTTCGTGATCCTCAAAAAACAGGGTCACGAAACTGCAGGGGAAATCGGGCGAAGCCGCGAGTCAAAATACAGCCCCGCAGCTTCGGGTGTGAAATTGACAAATGGTGTCAGGGCAAACGGCGGTGCAACTGCGAGGCAGCTCTAGTGAGAAATCAGCTATTGTCATGAGGGGAGGCTGAAATCCCCTCTTCTCATGCACCATAATCTTTGTTGGAATCAAGCAACACATGCCTGGAAATTGACTGCACAGTGGGGAACTCATAAGCAGATGTCTGGTTGTTACAGACCCAGAAGGAGTCAGGAAAAAATATAATGCTCTGACTTTAAGGTAACTCAAGGACATTGTCCCATCAAAAGAATGTACTTTTAAGTCTAATTGATCTCATCAGGAGAAAGTGGAGTGTGTATGTTAACTTTGCCACTGAATTTGATGGGACTAAAATTGCCCTAACTTTCACTGGATTATGCCTCAGATTTCTAGGGGGTTAGGTTGGCTAGCTAGCTTTTCAAAAGGTAGGAAATTCCTCTCACTATCCACAGCTACCTTGTTGCTTATCTAGGTATTGTCACAGTATAGAATTCACCAAATGAGGCAGAGCCTTGGCTCAGTAGTAGATTAACTGCTTGGCATGCACAAGGTCCCAGCTGATTTATGATGACCCTGTAAGGTTCTCAAACCAAGAAATGTTCAGAGGCAGTTTGCTCTTGCCTTCCTCTGCATAGCAATCCTGATGTTCCTTGGTGGTCTCCTATCCAAATACTAACCAGGGCTGACTCTGCATAACTTCCAAGATCTAATGCAATCAGGCTAGCCTGGATATCCAGGTCAGGGCTAAAATACATACAAAATGTAAAAACAGCAATTAAAACATTAGTTAGAAAGGAGGGATCACTGAGGGATGCCAAACAAAACAAACAGGTCTTCACCCGCTGGCAGAAGATGGCAACAGAAAGGGACAGATGAAGCTCCCTGGGAAAAGAGTTCCCGAGCTTTGGTGCCATGACTGAAAAGGCCCTCTCCCATGTTCCCACCCACCTAATCTCAGAAGGCAGGAACACCCAAAGCAGGGTCTCCAAAGATTACCATAGTAGTTGGACAGGTTCATAAGGGAGTAGGTGGTCCCACAGGTATGTTGGTCCCAAACCATATAGGGCTTTGAAGGTCAGGACCAGCACCTTGAATTTTGCCTGAAAACAAATCCGGAGCCAGAATAGATGGGCCAGATCTAGAGTGATAGGGTCCTACAACCTACTCCTGTCAATGTCCTGCCTGCAGCATTCTGTTCCAATTGAAGGTTCCAAACACTTCTCAAGGGCGACCCCCCATAGAATGCATTGCAGTAATCTAATCTAGATGTAACCAGGGCATGCACCACAGTGGCCAGACCTTTTCTGTCTAGGAAAGGCCACAACTGGCTAACCAGTCAAAGCTGATGAAAGGCATTCCTAGTCACAGCTGCCACCTGCTTGGGTCCAAGAGCAACCCCAGACTACAGACCTGTTCCTTCAAGGGGAGGGCAACCCCATCCAGAGCAGGTGACACCTTAATTCCCAGGTTAGATCTGCTGCCCACCAGTAACACTTCTGTCTTGTCAGGATTAAGCTTCAGGTTATTAGCCTGCATTCACTCCATAACTGCCTACAGACACCCGGTCAGGGTTTTTAGAGCCTCCCTGAGATCAGCTGGCAGTGTAAGATAGAGCTGAGTGTCATCCACATACTGGTGACAGCCCAGCCCAAATGATCCTGCCGGCTACCCATGGAGGTCCCGTCCCGAAGTTTTTAAAATAGACGGGTTCTCCAGAGAAGAACCCCCTTGGCGCCTTTCTGTCCTCCACCAATTTCCGGGAGTCGGGTGTGCGGTCCGGGTGGAGCCGGTCCAAGAGGGTTGTGGGGGGGGCGGCCCATCAGTAGCTCAGCTGGACTGTGGCCAGAGACCGCGTTTGGGGTTGTCCTCTGAGTTAGGAGGAATTGGGCAAACTGGAACACCCACTCCCCGCCCGTTATTCTGTGAAGGGCTTCCTTGGCCGTACAGACCATCCTTTCTGCCTGGCCATTGGTCGCAGGGTGGAAGGGGGCTGATCGGATGTGGTTCCTCTGGAGGATGTCCTGGAACTCGGCCGAGGTAAACACGGTCTCGTTATCAGAAACGATTGTGTCCGGTAGCCTGTGTGTGGAAAAAATCCAGCGAGGGGACCTTATGACGACTTTGGATGATGTGGTGGACACGGGGCTGATCTCCAACCACTTGGAGTAAGAGTCGACCGTTATTAAGAACAACAGCCCCTGGAACGGACCGGCAAAGTCCACATGAAGCCAGGACCAGGGTTTGTGGGTGGACTCCTATTGTTGTGTCAGGGCGCTCAGAGGGTGGGGCAGACCTCTTGGCATATTTTGCACCCCCGGACCCATGTCTCGATCTCAGTGTTGATCCCGGGCCACCACACATAGCTCCATGCTAGGGCCTTCATGCGGACTATGCCCGGGTGTGCTTCATGTAGTGTGTGCAAAACCCCCGGTCTCATGGTTCCCGGTACCACAACCCTGTCCCCCCATAGCAAACAGCCCTTGAGGGCCAAGAGTTCATCTTTCCTTGCTTTAAAGGCTGTAAACTCCATCCCAGGTGAAGCGGATGGCCACCCCCTTACCACCCAGGCCAAGACTCGGGAGAGAACTGGGTCCCTGGACGTGTGGGCTGCCACGTCTGAAGCCTGCAGGGAGGTTCTGGGAGACTTTCCAGCATGAGCACCCCTGGTGCGGGAGCCAGATCCCCATCCATCCAGGGAAGTGGTAACCTGCTCAGGGTGTCGGCATGCCCCATTGCCTTGCCAGGCCAGTGTTCCAGCCGGTAGTGGTACCCAGCCAAGAACAGGAACCAACAAAGAATGTGGGGCGACACGACCTGCAGCATTAGCTTATCAGCCGCAAACAACCCCAGGAGTGGCTTATGATCCGTGACTATCGTGAAGTGGTGGCCATAGACGAAGTTATGAAATTTCTTAACCCCTGCCGTGATAGCAAGACCCTCCTGGTTTATCTGTGTGTAATTGCACTCAGCAGAGGACAGCATTATAGAATAATAGGCCACGGGGACCTCTCTGCCATCTGGCAGGATGTGACCCAAAACAGCCCCAACGCTGTAGGGGGAAGCGTCACACGCTAATACAACAGGCAGGGACTCATTGAAATGAGCGAGAACAGCATTTGAGATCAACAAAGTTTTCACCCCCCGGAACGCCGCCTCCTCCCGCGGCCCCTAGGCCCAAGGAGCCAATTTGTCCAAAAGTCTGTGGAGGGGTTCTGCCAGGGCAGCCTTGTGCGGCAGGAAGGCATGACAAAAGTTAATGAGACCCAGGAAGACCTGAAGCTCCGCCTTGCACTGTGGGTCCAGGGCCTCCACAATAGCCTTCACCTTGTCCTTTGCGGGGTGGAGGCCCGTCGCATCAACCCAATAACCCAGGAGGTCCACCTCCATAACCCCGAGGAGGCACTTCTCCCTTTTTACTTTCAGTCCAGCATCATTGAATCGGCCCAAAATGGTGCGGAGACGGGACACGAAATCCTCAGGGGTTACTGCGGCAATGAGGACGTCATCGAAAAATGGCGTCACGCCAGGGATCCCTTTCAACAAAGTGTCCATTAATTGTTGGAAGATCCCAGGGGCCAAACTGACCCCGAACTGCAGCCTCTTAACTCTAAATGCCCCCCCGTGTGTAACAATAGTTTGGGCCGTAGCAGTGGCCTCATCAACTGGCGACTGCTGGTATGCCTAAGCGAGATCCAGCTTGCTGAAAATTTTCGCCCCTGCCAGAGACGCCAGCACTTGGCTCACTATTGGTACAGGGTATGAGTGCGCTTGGAGGGCTTGATCTGCGCAGATGCGGATGTCCCCATTCGGTTTTACGGGGGTCACTATTGGGGTTTCCCAGGGGGAATGGGAGACTGGTTTGAGAACGCCCTGGGCAACCAGCCGGTCCAGTTCGGCTTCTATCTTTGGCCGCAATGAGAGGGGTGCCATGTGGAAATGCTGGCGGATGGGGGCTACTTGGGGGTCAAGCTGTAAGGACACTGGGGTCCCTTGTAACATCCCAGAGCCCCATTAAAAACCGCAGGAAATTCCTGGCAAACTTCCCCAAAATCCCGAGGTGAGCATTTATTACCCCCCCCGATGGTGATATCCAGCACCTCGAACCAGGCCCGGCCCAGAAGCCTTACAAGGTTACCCTCCACCACCACCAAATCCAGAGTGCCCACAAAGTCCCGATATTTCACCCTGAATGTCCCAACCCCCCTGATTGGAATGGGATTCCTTTGAAAATCCAC